CATGTTCCTTCAGAAATCATTCTAATATGCTGATTAGGTGCTAAAGAAACATTTCATATTATTACCAATAACACTGTAAATAATACAATTGCAATTTAGAATTTAAAAATTGTAGAATTGTAACATTTTAATTTAGATCAATTCAGTGCATCCAAGTATTAATTAAAAAAAGTGCTGACCCCAAACTTTTGACCAGTAGTGTTTTTCAGTGAGTATTTCAAACCTGTATTTGTGAACTTCCACCTCAGCGCCTGATTTCCATGAACATGCCGCTGAACAGCGACGGCACAGTGACCTTCAACGCCACACTCTTCGCACTGGTCAGAACAGCTTTGAAAATCAAAACGGAAGGTGTGTAATTGAGATTACATTTAACAAGCAGCTTATTTCGCGGCATAGTATATAATTTACATGTTTCTGTTAGGAAACTTTGAGCAGGCCAATGAGGAACTGAGAGCCATAATTAAGTCAATCTGGAAGAGGACCAGTATGAAGCTATTGGACCAGGTCATTCCGCCCATTGGAGGTGAGATAGCTGTGATAATAATCATTTATGTTTAATTCACATGTTTTTAAATACAATCCATGTCTGACTGTGATGTAATTTCGTTGGCTGTAGAGGATGAAGTCACCGTTGGAAAGTTCTACGCAACCTTCCTGATTCAGGAACACTTCCGCAAGTTTATGCAGCGGCAGGAGGAATACTACGGTTACAGGCCTACCAAGAAGAACGCTGATGAGATTAAGGTGCACTTTATGATAAATGCTTGTAGTAAACATCATACAAAGGACACTTTTCAAGCAAAATACTAACAAGACTTCCGTCTGACTTTGCAGGCAGGTCTGCGCTGCATCGAGGAGGAAGCAGCACCTGAGCTGCACAGGGCCATCTCAGGTGATCTGATCGCTGAAGATGAGATGGAGCATGCCTTGGAGGCCGGAGAGGAGGGCATCTACAGGGTCTGCACTAAAGCATCTTCTTAAGGAAATAGACACAAGTAGATAAAGACGTCCATTTAGACTTATAGTCTCTGTGTCTCTATCCATGCAGCGGACAGGAGGTCTGTTTGGACTCAACACAGACCCCTTCTCCTCTGAGCCCAGCAGCCCCCTCTCCACACAGGTGACCAGCCAGAGGCCCCTGCAGTTTGTGGAGACTCGTCTGGAGGATATAGAGTCACCTCCAGACTCCGTCTTCCTCCCAAACACTGAGTTCTTCCCTGATAACATGCCAACAACAACCAACACCAATAACAATGCCAACTTTGTAGAAGAGTGAGTGGATACCTATAATGAAAAGTGCACTTAATGTGTATCTGTAAAGGTCACAATGCTCATTTGATGCTGTTTTTAGTATGTCATCCAGGTTTACGTTTGAAAACGAGTCACTGTCAGCTGCTGCAACCAGAAACTATTCATATGAGGACACAAGTAAGTGAAAAGAGTAGGTGATTGAAGAAAAAAAATTAATAAATAATAAACAAATATATATTATTATTTTTTTATTCGAAAGATATTATCTACTATTAGGACCTATTAATTACAGTATTACATTGAAAATACTTTTTTATTAAATGTTATTCATTTTTATTGAAAGCACTACAACAAATGCCACCATATACATTACTTTTCAAAAGTTTGGGGTCAAATGTTATAATTATACTTTTATTCAGCAAGGATGCAATAAACTGATCAAAAGTGACAGTAAAGACATTGTAATGTTACAAAATATTTTTATTTCAGATAAATGCTGTTCTTTTGAACTTTGCATTTATCAAAGAATCCTAAGAAATCATGTTTTTACTTTACCAAAAATATTAAGCAGCACAACTGTTTTCCACATTGATAATAATCAGAAATGTTTCTTGAGCACCAAATCAGCATATTAGAATGAGTTCTGAAGGATCATGTGACACTGAAGACTGGAGTAATGACTGCTGAATTAATTGCATTTTAAAATATATTAAATTAGAAAATAGCCAATAATAATATTTCACAATGTTGCTGTTTTTACTGTATTTTTGATCAAATAAATGCAGTCTCTTTAAGCATAAAAAGACTTCTTTAAAAAGCATTTAAAAATCTGTTATAATCTATCAAGCCATTTATAATATTTATACCATGAAGAAATTCAGCTGATATGACAGAAATCGACACACTTTATTGTATAAATGACATTATTTTCTGTGCAACCAATAGGAGACTCCAGTTCATATGTGGGCGAGGCCTCAAGTGTTGATGACAGACGGCTGTCAGATTTCACTGTGAGGACCAATATCACACAGGTGTGGACAGGTTTCACATTTCCTGAGCTAAACACAGTACAGTGACTACTTGATATTTCTCTCTGACTCCTCCATGTGTGTCTGACTCTCTCAGTTCCCCTATAACCCCTCATATGGGCCATCAAAGAACCAGAGAGCAGCAGCAGAAGTTTCACCAGTCACCGACAAACTCATTCAGCAGGTAAATACACCAGGACACATCTCATGTACTTAACATTCATTCCATACCTTCTCAGGAGAGACTATTACACCATATTGTCTATGAATCCTCAGGCACTGAGAGACGGTGGTCTAGACTCCTTGGCTGAGGACCCACAGTTTGTATCTGTGACTAGGAAGGAGCTGGCAGAAGCCATTAATATTGGCGTGGAGGATATGGAGGGCATGGCTCAGGGCATCGTAAACGGGCAGAGCGGCAAGGTAACAAAACGTAAACGCCGTCCCATCCCAGTTCCACCCGGCACCAAGTCAACCAAACCCAAGGAAAACACTAGTGCTGTGTAGAAACATATTGAGAGACATTCAGCAAATTCATGAGACGTCTTCAGCCTGAATCTTCTGCCATTGTCCAAAATCACAATTACTTCAGTTTATGAACAGGTAGTGCACTGGTTGTTTAGAAGGGTACTTTTTTCAAAGATGGTAAGAGAAATAACATATAAAAAGGGACGCCTGCCTGAACATGTTACTGCTATTTTAATGAGGTCTGGTGATTTTTATTTCTGATGGCTGTTCTGATTTAGGACTTGTTTTTTGGTGACTGAATTTACCGAACATCCTCAATAAAATTGTTCACACACTGTTCTGTGAACATTTACAGTTGAGTGAGTTACATAAAACAGACAAATGCCTGAAAACCTTGTAATCTGTGGACATAGAGCCACAAAGGCAAGTCTTTTCTTTGGTTTGTCTACCACATGTACCTGTAGTTTCAACTTTTTTGTATCGAGTTATAAAATAATTGTTACACTAAATGGGATTATTATCCTGACATTTTGTTCACAGGAAAACCTTTAGCAGTTCTTAAAGGTGAATTTTTGAAGAAAAAAACATACTGTATACATAAAACATACTGGTCCTAAAAAGAAATTAGATTTTTGATCTTTTTCATTTCATTTCTTCTCATTTAAATGGAAAGTGTTTGCATGCTTGTGACTGACAGGACAAGTACAATATGCAAAGAACGTCATTTGTGTTTTTGCATTTACTCACTTAGCAAATGCTTTTATCCAAAGTGACTTACAAATGAGGCAAGAAGGGCTTATAATGTCCGATAAAGGCTTAATGAAATGTTTTTATCTGCAAATTGAATTACATATTTATGTTTCACATGAGCCTTTACATTCTTCAAAAGAATCTTCCTCGATGCACATAATGGGTTTGAAAATGAAATGTCAGTCATTGGCTAGTATATATGGAGAAAACTTCCCCCTTTTTCTGGAATATGTAAAGAATTAAGGATTGTTTTTTTTTTAATTATTATTTCATTTAATGGCTTGTATGTTTGTCGTATAGAACAGTTGAGATGGATATAGGACAGTGGGAATGGGATCAGTATGTGACGCAGGCCGGATTTAAACTGGGTCCCTGTTTTGTTTTTTCATGCACTACACACAGGCACTGACACCCTTTTTCTTAGAAAAAGGATCTAGAGAAGTTTTCTAGGGACATTGGATGTAGACATTTACATGTGAAGCATGCACATCAAAAATACAATGCAGATACTTGACTAAAATAACACTGAAAAAAAAACAACAACACTTGCTTTAGAAAAGTTTTTCACTGAGCAACAATGTTCCAGTTTATTGAATCTTCTCAATGTAGCAGCTGAAGTCCTCAAATGAAATCATTTTGCTCACCGACTATTGCAACGTTGCACCTTTTTAAAGTATAGCTGAACTTAAAAGAATGTGTGGACCGATGCCACAAATTGACGTCTTAAAAGCTGTATTTTCTCTGATCTGTCATTTCTGTTCAGCACGTTTTTATATTTCATTGCCAAGTACAAAACTTTGATGGATTTGCATTTAGATACACACGTTTTCACTTTCCACCTCAGCCTGTGTGTCTTGCAAATGAACATTTGCTAAAAGTGCGATTTAATAAACATGAGAGAGATGTTCACATTTTTTCTTGGGATGTGGGTAAAGGTTGTCTAGCCATTTAGATTTATATTGTGTTGTAGAAATAATCTGGAAAATATGCATTCATTTGATGAAATCATTTAATATTAACACTTACAAAATAACCACAGTTTTTCAAATAAGAGCACAGTAATAATTGCATTTTAATTTTTAATGAGTACTAGCTTTAATATTAATATAACTGCCCTGTCACTCTATTATTGAGCTTTACATCTGCATTAACTATGCCTGTGAGCACATACAGATGAAGCGCAACTGCAAATAGCACAAAGCAAAGGCTAGTATTTAAATATTATTATTAATACCATGTTTGCTGTAGACAGATGGTGTGATGAGCGGTCTATGGCCAGTGCAGCTGTACTACACTGTAGAGAGGGAAACTTGAGAGCAGCTCTAGGTACTATTAATACTGCAACACATCACAGCTCAAGCCTCTTATGGCGTGAAACTAAATCCATAAAGCAGAGATGAGAGGTTCAGACAGTGTATGAACTGACGTCAGAAGTGTAAAAGCTTTACAGTGGTTAAATTAAGACTCATTTTCACAATAATTGATCCCACTAGGCTTCAGTAACCGAAGACGTGCAATTACACAAAACGTAATTACAATGAATTTATTTATACAGGATTCTTACTGACATCAACTAAAGTCACACGGTGTGGCACAATCAAACACGCTTAAAGAAAATACAAAAAGCTGAGGGCCAGTGGGCCGATGGTTCCCACGCTGAAGGATAATGTCTTCAAAGCTCTGATGGGACAAACACCGCATTTCCAGCAGTCCATTTCCATGAAGCACTTCCCCTCAAATGAAGTAATGAGGTTTCTTTACATTTATGCCATACTCTGCCATGGCTGGTGTCAGATCTTCCATTGTCAGCGTGTACTTCTTGTCCTGGGAGGTGTGATGAGAACAGTGTGAATGAGAGATTTTTACAACACATTTTTAACTTCTACAAATGATGGCCTGCAGATGAAACATTCATTAGATAGATTTATTGTAGAATATGTTACTGTACTTATCACAATTTGCAAACACAAACCTTGGTCTTGTTTCGGGAGCTTCCAGAGGCCGTGCCCTTCATTTTGCAGTGCTGTAGTGCATCGTTTGCAATATCTGAGATGAACTTCTGAGACGCCAATGATATGAGACGGATTCTGAAAACACAGAATAAAGATGTCAAGGAAGATTCATGATGAGTATTTTTAAATAAGTTTTAATATTGGCCTAATGTATTACCAACAATGCAATACACTTCATGACACATGAATGTGTTATTTAAGCCCATTCACAGGACAATACACATTAAGTTTGAAAAATCATTCTACTTCTGTAGGGACTGTTCTGTGTCCTGTAAGGACAGGGCAATGATATCATTGGTATGATTTCTAAAGTGACTTTGTTTCCAGCTGATGAATGGTGAAACATTTAAAGCCAATCTGGCAACGTCTCCAAGATACTTCCAAGAAACCTACCTGAAAAACTATGCGCAAGTGCACTTAGGGCAAAAGCTGCTTTAAATGCAAAGGATGGTCACACCAAATGTTGATTTAATTTAGTAAATAGAAATGAATTGATAAAGAAAATCTATTAATGACATTATTTTTGACAGCTTCCTCATTTTAACGCAGGTGCCTAAAACTTGTAACAGTACTGTAGCTTTGCAGGTAGGTTTCTTGAAATATCTTGGAGACGTTGCCACAGTTCTTCTGGATTTAGTCTGTCTCAGTTTCTTCATGTCATTCCAGACAGACTGGATGATGATCAGATCAGATCTCTGTGTGGAAAAAACTCTCTGGATTATTACAATTAATGGCAAAATGAATGTTTGGAAATGTAAACTGATATTTCCAGACACACTACAGCAAAAGATAGAAATAACTGACTCAAAACCATTTTTTAGCTGGTGAAAATATTAGTGTTCAAATAATTTTGGCTACCACTGTAATAACTGTTAAACATATATTATTATAGTATTTATTACATTTTTTAAAAATGTTTTAATTTAGTTTTAGTAATTTTCTTATGCGTTTTTGCCATTTTTTTTATTTAGCTTTAATTTATTTTTATTTCCGTTTTAGATTTAGTAATTTCAGTACTTCCAGCTGTATATTTATTTCAGTTAGTTGCCAAAGCAACATTTCAAATTTTTCAGTTTCTTAAACTTTATTTTTTTAATCTAATATTTATATTTCATTTCAACCTTTTTTCAATTAAAATGATTTTTAATAGTTTTAGTTATTATTTAGTTAAAAATAACAAACGTTATCATTCACCGATGTGGACGTTAATATAGTTATCGTTACAGTTATTGTTCTTGGTGTAAATGGGCCTTCAAACTACATTAAAAAGTTACTTTTGTTAAAAAAAATGTTTGCTTAAAGACCCTAACATGTTTTTAGCAGCAGCACTACATAACAGCTTTCTGAGAGAACATCATTCCAACTCACATTCTTGGATCTGATGCTTCAAAACCAGCTCGGTTGAGGTAGTATCCGGTGACTGCGTCTGGGATCTGAAAAACAGAGACAGTTTGTTAACTCCTAAAGACACCAAGAATCAAAGAATCTACTGTAGTACTGCAATCATGTGTGGACTGACTGTAGGAGTGTAATCCTCCAGCTGCATCAGGAAATCAGCCAGCGGTGTGGTTGAGATAACGGGCTTCACGTCTCCATTAGCGATGCCTGTGGGCACATACACCCCGTTTGACACGATGGAGTCGGATGATGGATTTGCCATTGCTGCCGAGGTCGGAACTGTGAGGGGAAAAGTACGACAGACCTTCAGAACTGCACGAATAATAAAGATTACAAATACACTAACGTTACTCTCCATCTTTATACAGACCAACACTTAAGTGGCTAAAGGTTAAAAGGCAACAGCTACTCTGTGCGCATTTAAACTGTCAAAAAAAGACACCCACCATTACCGCTGCCGACCGCAGGGATGCTGCTGGCGTTTGTGGAGGCGCTGTTCAGGACGCAGTTGCTGCTGCTGCTGGATGTGGATGTGCTGGATGCGGTTGCTGCTCCAGTCTGTCCGGTTTGCGTAAGGTCCACGTTCATTTTGTCCTGCTTAGTTTGAATATTCCAGTAAACTGTGGCTACTAGCCAAAAGTTAAGTCGATACTCATTTATGCGGGTAAAACAGCGAGGTCGGCGATCGTTCGCTGTGAGGAGAAAAATATTTACGCTAATACGCTTGAGACGTGTCACGTGACTAATACTTCCGCGCGCAACCACGACGAAAGTCCGGAGGAGCTGCGCCTCACATCTGATTAATAGTTCCGGAATCGATTGCGTTTCCGTTAACATTTCTCCAAGCTTGTTTTGTTTTACAACATATCAAGCGCAAATCTTGTAATACAGGTTTTGTGTTCAAGTTACATTTTGTAATTTAGATGAGAAAAACATTTCATGCGGCGACAGAATCAGGGCTTGCAAACAGCTCCATCTAGTGATGGTATTTTGAGTTGGTCACTTGGCATCATACCGTTTAAGGTAATTTACAAAAAAATTAAATAATAATAATTTCATAAACGGGAGTGTTTTAGTCGTGTGCACTTTGGAATTCAAGGTCACATCTTATCTTTGATAACGGCCCCAGATCCTCAAACATAAGACTAACAACATATAGTTTTTATTACTTTAAAACAACCAGTTTTATTTGGTGTTTTTTTTTTTAAATTTTCATATTGTATTATTTATATAATAATACTATTTGTTTTATATTTATATATTCTATCTATATTATACATTTAATTGTTTATTTTCTAAATCTTTTTCATTTTAGATATAAATGAGTATGATACATAACTGTATAAATCACCAAAACAAACAAAATGTTTTCAAATTAAAAGTATTTTTATTGTCACAAGAATAATTGTACATTTTAGTAAGAAAATCAAAAATAAATGTGCATATTATAGAAGCCACATATCAATATGGATAAGCTTACAAGAGTATGATACCATAACCACCAGTTTCAACTGACATAGACCGTGACAGCAAGGTACAGATATGATCAGGATGATTCAAGGCCCTCTCAACCATTGTCAAATCACTGGAATGATGAATTAAACAACAAAAACATGCCATAAGATGAAATTGTGAAATTTAACTACACGGTCATTTTTAGTCTTCCTGGCATTACACTTCACAGAAAAAAAATAATAAAAGAAAAGAAAAAAAAAGTTTAAAAATGTTTGTGTGTTATCTGCATTGGAAGGAGCGTTTTTTCCCCCACAGAAGTTAATACTGTCAAAGCTCTAATGTGATTATTCAGATGTGCAAACATTAATTATAAAGCCAAAACTGTAAAAAGGGTTTTTACCAATTAATTAAGAGTTATTATTTTTTTTAAGTTTTAACACTGTAGATCAGTGATGTTCAATCTAAATTCCAATTAGCTGTGCTCATATTAATTCAAATCTCTGCTGATCAGAAGTATCCTGATGGATTTCAGGGAATGTTGTACTAAAATTAGCTTAACACAGTGAGAGATCATTTGGCACGACAACAATGGAACAGCTAAACTCTCTCAAAAGGAATGACGGAATGGTTTATGGCTTCTAACAGAATGCAACAGCTGTTTGATTGGTGTCATCAGTCGACACCTCATTCAATAACATATAGACCACATTCACCCTTTAACAGCCAATATTTTAAATATCTTTTAGTTGAACAGTAGATAACAAAAGAAAAAGAACATGTGGATAGCTGGACAGATTGGGAGACAAATATTTATACACCTATTATTTGAATTTCCACAGAACTAGTGAGCAAACAGGGACATTTACCAGTGACTCGGAACACAAAAACAAAGAACAACATGAAGCACAGCAATTGCCAACATTATTGTCTCCATTATAGAAAAGACTAAAGGGTATTTTGCCTTTACTGATTAGATTGTAATGGAAAACCCTAAGGAATATCAGATACATGGAGAACCAAAGGGAGACAAGATTGTAGGCAACGCAATTCATATTGAGAAAATAAGAACGTTTCTTTTCACAAGACCCCTTTCCATACAAAACTAAAATAATTTTTAGATTTTCATCACATGAAAATATAGATTTGTCTTTATACATAGCATCTCAGTTACCTTTGCCACAGTGTACTGCATGTCACATGACCATAAAAGGTTAAATTCATTACGCTTTTGGATGATTTCATTAGAAATGTTCCCTCATTTTTCAGATGATGTCACAGTAAACTTTGAAACCTATTCTATTTTTTTTTTAACTAAATACTTTAATATTAGATCCTATTCAGACGCATGGCATTCTTTCATTTAGATGTTGAATTACATGCACTGGCTCTACAGAAAAGCCATGCATATTTCATTAGCAAATGATGTCTATATTCTATGCTTGAAAACCTTTTTGATTTTACCTTATCTCACTGAGCATGGGCTGCTCTGCAAGGCTTGTAATTTTGGTCATAATTTGAATAATATTAAGCAACCCAGATTTAGATTTAGAGAGTTGACTCTTAAGGGAAAGTTCACCCAAAATAATTCACCCACATGTCATACCAACCTGTATGAATTTCTCACTTCTCACACCAAAGAAAAACGTCTCAGTGATATTTGTGTTTTTTTAAGGGGGTTCAATGTAGTTCTGGATCCCACTGACTTTCATTATATGCACAAAAACAGTGTAAACTTTTTCCAAAGTAAACCCTTGTGTCCCACAGAAGAAAGCTATTCATGTTTGGAAAAACACAAGGGTGTGTAAATGATTTTTGGGTGAACTATCCCTTTATATAAAAGCTGAGGAGGATTTCACGCCATCTGTGGTATCTGACCAACCCTGTAAGCATGTTACAGTTAACTGTTCAGGAAGCACAAAATACAGGGGTTCAGAGTATAAACAGTCAGATGACTATCGACCTCCATCGACATCAAACACACAAGCTGAAGAAATGAAACTGTAATGACTTACTTTTGTAAGGCAAAAGTAAGCCGTTTCAAATTTACAGCCATTTCATGTCATCATTTTGATCTTAAAGACTAATTGTAAGCCTGTGTGTGCCACATTTAACACTGGACAACTTATAGACTAAAGGGAACCATGTAGGAAAAACGACACCACGGTGACCATGCAAGAAAACATTGATAAACGCTCAACAAACACAATTACAATCATCACCACACATGCACATACACCCAAAACCACTTCTCCATCTCTCTCTCTCTCTCCGCTCAATAAAAATATATTTAATGTATCTGTGAACGAGAGCAGAGGTCTGGTGTACGCTAATGTTTGTCCTCTCATGTTCAAATGGTCAACAATGAAAGTTGAATTAGTCCCGGTACAGTGAAAAGCATTTCCTGCTTAAATTGCCACTGATATGAATACAACGGACTGGATATGGCATACTGAGAGTACTAGTTGATTAAAAAACCTTTAAAATGTTACTCTACTGACACGTTGACGAGAACAAGACAAAATGCCATTCAAACTAAAACGAAACTGATGGGGTGAATGGACTACAGTACATATATATATACACACACACACGTGCGGCTGAAACAGAACAAATCCAATCCAGTGTATTGAGATCAGTATCTGGCTTCACATTTAAAATCAGCCTGAGAGAGAGCGAGAGAAGCAGGCGACGATAAACAGACGATTTCAACACCAACATCTGCTCATGAGCACAAACTACACAGGTGTCCCTCTCTCAAGATGAATCTGCATGGATCTCTGAGCATTTCACAGCCTTGCATAGTATCTCTGATTGCGGGGGACTCTAATGGCAGACAGACGGACAAACGTGACGAGTAAATCGAGGCTGTCGAGGTGGATGAGGCTATTTGAAGGCTGACTTCAGCTCTTTGAAAGCGGCTTGTCTTTGTTTCCTCTCCTCCGCCTGACGCTTCTTCTCTTCCTGCTCCTGACGGATTTCTGCCTCAAACCGGTTTGATTCGTTAATGGCCTGCACCTGTCAGAGACAAATATACATTTTTAGGTAATCCTAAATTGAATTTCCTTATCAGAGGCATTCAATACAACCTATCTAGGCAGGAAATTACAGTTATAGAGCTGTCATAGACTAAGAGGGGTTTACAAATATGAATGAATGAATATGCTGATGGTTAAAACTGAGGATTTATTTCACTTAGGGGTGGGAAAAAAAGTATTAAATGTCATGATTCTTTACTTTTGCCTCAAAGAATGTTTTGGCTCCCTTCACTCCCTCAGTTGACACGTCAATCTCTGACAAACGTGCCAAGACATGAAGCCCGCTGTCCTCTGTCAGCTCTCCTGCTGCTGCTTTTCTGAAGATAAGAAGAAACTAGAGAGAAAAAGAGGAAAGAAGGTGATTAATGGGGGAATATAAGTAGTTTCCTGCTCTTCATGCAGCTCTTCATCATGTACTTCGTTGCTGTGAAATACAGCCAAATCTGCAAACAAATTGTTTCATGTTTTGACATACTGAAGCATTTACCTCTCTAAAGCTGAGTTTGCCATCAAAGTCCTCATCTACTTCTTTGATCATGTTCTTCAGGCCCAGGTGAGTCTGAGGTGCTCCGAGTTTCTCCATCATCAGCTTCAGCTCCATCAGATCGATGAAGTTATCTTTCTCTAAATCATACCTGCTCACACACACACACACACAAGCAACCAAGTTATTAAAGCATAAATATCATGTAAAACAGGACTTCTTTTGAAATAAATGTTCCTGAAAACACAAGGAACAGCCATCTCATCACTGGTGATAATGCTGTAATGTCTCTGGTGATCAACAGAGGGCAGTGCAGATAAATAACTGGGCCCTCACTAGCAGGAATACCTTATCAGGACTATTGGAACCTTTCTAATCTTTCACTTATCTTACCAACTGTTCATATATTTTCAGCTTATTTCAATTTAAAGATAATTTAAATAAGTAAAAGGTTAAAAAAAAAACATTCTTGTAAAAGTGTTACCAGTGAGAACTCTCAACATCAAATCATTAAAAAGACTTTAATCTGGGAAGACACTACATATAATTTTATTTGAATGAAAACTCCTGTGAAGGGCAGAAGTACAGCCAAAAAAAAAAAAAGTGTCATTTTAATGTTGTACATCTAGGAACATGGTTAATACAACTATTTTTAAATCATTTTAAAACTTACTGAGGAGCTCCTGGAAATTTGCTGAGAACCACTGATCTACACCAATACAACCCATCTTGTTTTCATTTGTGTACAATAAAATATGGTGTCTATCTTGACTTATGAACATTCTGCTCTGAAACATACAGGAATCCATTAAAGCATCAATATCATCAGTCAGAGCTGAAGTGTTCATTAACAGCCACCCATTTATTATACCCGCTGCTGAGATCATCTTAATGTTCATATCTCCTGCATTTTTAATAAACAGCTTATGAGCTGCTGGCAATTTACTGAGTAAATAGCAATCCAAGACACTTGTGTGTACATCCGAGAGCATTAAAATTTGCGAACTTTAAACATAAATCTACAGACTAAACATAAGCCTGATGTTATATAAACGTTAAAGCATTTCAGTCATTTCTCTTATGCACAGAAAAGAAAGGAGGTCACTGATCTTACATCTCTCTCACAAACACACACACACACACACACACACTTCCTGTGGTTCAGCAGACGTAATCACTAATGGTTTGGAACATGTGACATTCACACAGGCCAGACCGATTATATCTGCCTCTTCTTCTTTTGCATCGATAATGAGGAGTTAAATTGATCCACAGGTGCATATTTTCTGGTGCAAAGGCCAGAGAACTGTGTGGGACAGGTGAGTGTTAGTGTGCAGCAATGGGGCGATGAGAAAGGAATAGTCACATGATATCCCTTTTCTCTCAATTATTATGTACGAGACCACTTCCTCTACGCGTCCACATATAGACGGTTTCAACGGCAACAACATAAACAAACGTTACTGCGCATGCGTGCTTTTGTGGCCCTAACTTAACTTCCGGTAGACTTCCAAATAGAATCAATGACAACAGCTAAGTAGTCCCTTTAGAGTAGATTATTTTTTGATAACAAGGAAAATATGTTTGCTGCGTAAATCAGATGGACTTACTGAAATTTTCTAAAGATAGTCTTCCTTCAGAAATACAGTGAAATAAAAACACCCACGCCTCGTTATGATTTTTAAATGTGCCGTATGTGCTCATGTTTATTCAACGAAGCCTTTTGGAAAATCTGTAATTTTTGATATTGTGGCGAGCACCACAAATAAATAAATGTATGGGAAACACATCCCACAGCACAACCACCTGAGCCCAACTTCAGTCTACTCATCACCTTAACTTTAACTGTGTTTGTAGCCGGTGCCATAGCCAGACTGATAAACAAACACAGACCGGAAGTTAACTTCGGGCCAGGCGCGTGCGTCTATACACACAAGCAAAAAACACACACTGCCCAAAGATGAGGTTTTACGTTGCCATGGTAACAGGGTCCTTTAATTAAAAGCAGAGGCCAATGTATTTTGAATGAGACTCTTATCAACTAGTAAATCTTCTTCCTTCCTTGGATTCTTACTTCCTTCTTGTCATTTTGTTCTTCCTTCTTCCCTGAAAGATATTTTCAATTTGCCCGATAGTGCTCTAAGAAAGCTTCAAATGTGTTTTGGACATCTTAAGTGATATTAATACAATAAAATAAAATGAAATAAAACAGGATCTATTAAAATAAAATAAAATGAAATAAGAGATAATTAAGTACAATAACATTAAAATAAAAGATTAAAATAAAATATACAGAATTAAACCAATGGTAAAAGAGACATTACACATTTTAAAAAATAAGATATTACAACTAAATGAAACAAGATATTAATGTAAGAGTTTAAAATAAAATATTAAAATAAAATGATGAAATAAGAGACATTTAAAGTAAAATAAGACATATTAATAAATACTTAAATTTCAATTAATTTTAAGACTAAATCTATAAATATTCTGCCGGTGAGGATTGAAAAATCGAAATTTTTCATATCGCGATATTATCGCAAATGCAATTAATCGTTCAGCCCTAGTTTTTATCTCCCTCATTAACTCCTTCTAGGCAATCCCATCATGCTCCCTGCTCATGAATATGGAGTGTGTCTCCATCTGCCTCAGAGACATGGCTTCTGTATTCCTGTCTACCTACACAAGACACCCTGCTGATGCCAGGTCTCTCACACGCACATAAAACTGCATCTCTTCTCATTAACCCTGTATCACTGACATCTTCTCATCACTAATTCAAAGGCCAAAAGAGTGTGTTCATGTTCAGGGGCACAAAATCTCTCAAATGAACTCTTCGGGCTGTGGCATCTGACATATCAGGCTAACCTTGATCACAGTGCTCTGAAAAATGCTGTTTGATGAAGGATTGCAGTTGTGGGGCATCTGAGGGTCATGTTTCTCTGTGGACGCTGCTATCCAGGGTTTGGTTGAAGATTACAGTACAGCAGCGGTTAATCAAACTAATGTGATTTCACGGCAAGCGAGATTGAGCTGGTGGTTTATTTTTGAAAGGCAAAATCAGATCACTTGAGAAACCGAGCAACCAGTGTCCATAGTGGTTTCAAATCAATAATTTACGTCTGCATACGGCTAGTCTGTTTAACAAAAGAAAGGTCAAGCATGCCCAGTGCGATTAAAGATCAGCTGTAATTTAAATCCACCATGTTTAATTATGCAGTCAACTCCTGAAATCACATATGCTTACTTCTGAAAGAGTCCTCATGCTTTAGAATGACCAAGATTTGTGAAAGATTACCGCCATGCCTGTTCTTTGCATTTTACTGTCATGAGCCAAGCTGAATCACTTGCTGTCATTTCCTCTCAATCATGCTCAACAGACATTTTTAGCCTGAACATGGTGAATTATGACTTATGGTCTCCTGGTTTATCTAGGTTTATCTAGGTTTTTAGCATTAACAAAACCTCATCAACCAATAAAAATTTTCCAGTGGCCTTGTTTCCAAAGATACACTATCATCATTCAAAGGTTTTGGGGTCATTAGGATTTTTTAGGAGAAATTAATACTTTTATTCAGCAAGGATGCATTTAATTCTAACACAAGACAAAAGTAAAATCAAGACCAGGTGGTTAAAGTATTTTCAGTTTCTGACTGACTCCATTTACTCTAACTTACATGTGGTGTTTAAGATACTTCACAGATTATGAAAAGCTCCCAAGTGCTAAAAACCCAACAAGACAGAATGTAGTAACACTTCAGTTGGTTGCAACAATCTGGAAAGCTTCAGCTGTATTCTTACCAAACACAGCTGACAAAATAATGTTTTACCATCTATATGGAAACGCAAAGCAGTTGCTGCCCAAAAAGCTGAAATAAAGAATTTTCCCCCTTTTCTGTTACCATGTGCACTTGAGGAAGATCACATTTTTGCCCAAATAAGTCTTTAAGCTGAACACTTCACACTACAGATGATTGAGGAAGCAAATGCAATCAGCACTTCCTTATAATAACCAAGAGAGGTAGAGTCACAGCCATGAGCCGATACAAGTTTGTTGAGTAGTTATAAAGAAAGTCAAAAGAAGGAACAAGAAAGCAAATGTGTAGCTTTATTTGTGCTTTGTGTATTTAAAAAGTCCTCTTGTTATCCAGTTATCTACTTTCAAGAACTCTTGAAAAACTTTACCGTGCAAGTCTGAACTTGAATGAAAGTTAAGGAATGTAGATTTTTCTTGCTCTTTAAAAAGTGTTTAGACTTGCAACATTTTTTCTGTGCAGTCTCAGGGGGACTTCAGCTAATGAGGTTTTAGCTGACTACTGACGATGGACACAGATGTGCTGAATCTATCCTGCTTACTTGTAGGACACATGACACACTGTAGGAAAACACGACTCCGAAAGCGAGTGAGAGAGAATGGGGAACAGGAAATACTCAAATAGCCTTGTGAGAGCCTCAATCTGCTACTTCGGCACTGACCTCGAGAAAGTGCTAGCTGCACTTCCAAATTCCTCTTGAAATTCATTTACAAATGATTTGTTTAAAACGAACACTTCAGCTGAGCCACCCAAGAGCAGAAATCTGACTTTAAGAAAATCCTTTTACATAAGTTACTGGACACTTCAAACCATTGACATTGTCATCAGGTTTTCAGCTGGACAACGTCAAATACTGTAAATATAACAAGACTGTTCACTCAAATTGCTATGAATAGGAGAAAGTGCAACGCATAATATGGTGGAATAAGTCCCGCCTTCTAAATAAAAGAACCAATCATCAGTTGGTAAAGTCGTCATGTCACTACAGCTGCCATTAGAAGCTCTGGTTCCCTCTGTTTAATACTATTTGAGCATAGGAAACAACACTTATGGGACAGTCCATGTCAGATTTTGTCGCCGTTTCGAAATATATTATTTAATATATTATTTAATATTATTTATTTTTGAGATTTCAGTGTTGGAAAGTTCATGCAGTGGTCTGCCTTTTTTTCCCTTAAAAAAAATCTAACTTAAAATTTGTTGTGACCGCAAATCTGAGTTAAGCCATAGAAAAAAGAAAATCCTCATTTCAAAGTGACTATAAATGATTAGAGTAATAACTAAGTGTACAGAATTGTTCCTTATGTTTCTACAACACATTCACTATAGTACA